AAAAAATATTTTCGCAAAAATGGACGAAAACAATGATGGTCAATTAACCCAAGATGAATTCTTAAAAGGGTGCCTGCAAGATGAGGAACTTTCAAAAATGTTGGCCCCATAAACACCACAACCAAATGAAAAGAAAACATAAAAACCAACAACCACCCCCTCACAAAATAAAATTAAAAAAAAACAACCAAAGAAACAACCACAAGAAATTTTGAAAGAAAACAAAATAAAAATAAGCAAATGACCCATTGTGGTTTATGTAATTTATTGAATCATTTATATCATAAAATTTATAAATTTACATTTCCTAAAATGAATACTAAGGCATCTACTAAAATTTAACATTGTGTTTCAATATTTTATACAAACTTGCTACATACGGACATACATACTTACGAGTAAAATTAAACACTGTATTTTTTTGCTTTTGTTTCTTGTAATTTTTTGCAATAAAGGCATTGAAAAACAAATCTAATTAAGTGCAAATGCACATACATACTTGTGTATGTGTGTAGTTATGTTTGCAGCAGTAGCTCTAACAATTACTTGTACATATGTAGCTCTCATGTAGTCTAGTGTTTTTCGTTTCGTTCCGTTTTAAAATATTTTCTTAAATTTTATTTTATTATTTAAGTGTTGATTGCTGCGAATATAGGCTACTACAAATAAAGATTCCGCTTAGACGCTGACGTATTACTACTGCCCCGATATCACACATTTATTTGCATATGGATATATGTACATATATATGTACATATTTTTTTTTTTTTATTCGGGGACATTATAATGCATTTGCAATTGGTAGCAAATTGCAGTATTGGCATTTCAGTTTTCTTTTAATTTTAGTATCGCAGGCGTATGACTCGCAATAAGTTTTGTTTGTTTTGAAAAAACGGGGGGGAAATTGCTTGAAATAAAAAACGCATACCACTTGCGGTGCGTCTAATAGGTTTGTTTAGAAAAGCTGGTGGTCACAAACGTGGCGGAAGTAAAATAATTAAGAAAACGAAAATGTGAAAAAAATCAGTAGAAAATTAATAACAAAATTGAAAATCAGAAATATTTTTTTTTTTATTATATGCATAGTATTCATATACAAAAAGATAAAGAAAGTTAAACAAAACCTATGCTCAACTGCAACGCACTTTTTTTTTTTGGTAAATTTCTTGTTTATATTTTCGACAATGCGCCAAACGCTTCTTAATGCTTGGCGTGTAAGTGCATTCTAAATAGCAAAACTAAGCAGATAAAAAACGCTTAACTTGCAGAAGCTAATTTGTTCCACAAATTCTATACGAGTCATTGTGTTTCTTTCGCATGTGTCTTCAGCAAAAATAAAAAGAAAACAAAAAAATAAAAGCTATTTTTACTACATAACAAGCGAGTTGTAGATGTGTGAAAATTACCGGGGAATAAGGGTAATGGGGAAAGTGTGGGCCGTTATGACAAATAATACACACTTAGTTAAGCTTAATTTGAATAAAAAAGTGTTTTTTTTTTTTAGTTTATACCTAGTTCCAAAATAATATTCTTAAGCACTTTTAACTTTGCTGCCCAAAAAAAATGCAAATCTCTTGCTTCTAAAAAGTTGGACGAATGCTGTAGGTTTGATATATTTATAAAATATCAAAACCTCCATACAACGAAAAATTCAAAATTTTGGAAAAAATTCGTCATAAGTACCTCAAGGTTCGTTTTTTTATAAGGGGTCTCTAACCGTCAACGTATTCCGAATTCGTTATGTAGAGGCTTCTGAGTCGAGATATTTTATTTTATAGATGCCTTTTGCTAACGGGACTTTAACCGTTAATATATTTAGAAGGTTTCCATGCTCAAAATTTCTATATATTTATATCTATGGAACATTTTTTTATATTGAGTTTTTCGTTATATCGAGGTTTCCCTGTAGTAACTAAAAGTTTATGCCGCTAAGTATCAATCTACGTAGAAGCGCTTAATTTTTATGCGATTTTTAAAGCAAACGTTTAACAACAGTGTTATTCGTAAGCTCACTGCTTACAATGATGTTAGATTTGAAAATTTTTTTGAGAATCTTACTTATGCTAATTGGATTTTTTTGTCTCTATTTTAATCTTTGCTGTATTGGCGTTGTATTTTTCGTATATCTATTCAAGCAACCCCATTCAAGCTCGCTAATAATCTGCTAGTTGTTCAAGTTCGAAGCGCACACGATCAATAACGGTAACAAAATCTTAATATATTTATCATTAATTTGGAGTTTTTTTTATTAAAATTTTTTATTAAAAGGAATTTTTAGCTTTGTTGTAAATCTTTGTTTTTCTTCTATCTTCAGAGAAATCAAAGCATGAGTAATCAAAATGGGTAAACAAAACAGTAAATTGAAGCCAGAAGTCTTAGAGGACCTTAAACAAAATACAGAATTCACAGGTAAGCATTGCAAAGAAATACATAGAAAATAAAACCCTTTAAACAAATATATTGAAGTAAAAGGTATGAAATTTCAAGCAAAAGCAATTTCTTAGTTTTTATTCATACGGCCCATTGTTATTATATAGCTTTGCTTAGAAAAGTTAAGTTTAGACTCGATGTAAGAACTTTACTACATATGTATGACCGTAGATTTGATAAAATTTTCGAGAATATTTAGAGCGCTACTCCGCTTTTTCCACTATCTGCACAAACAAAAAAAAAAAAAATCAAGAAGTCGCACAGTGGGATTTCGGCCAAAAAAATTCAACTTTTTGAAAATTCAATTCTTATATTTGGACGGTTAAAGCAATATTTGAAAAAGAAAAATTATTTATAACTTTTTACGAGAGTCACAATTTTATACAAAATAAAAGGGGCTGAAGTCAGAAGAACTTTATTCAACTATTTAAAACTTACTGAGACTTTTGGTTGAACTGAGCCAAGTTCTTTTCTAATAACTTTTTATTTTGGTTGCTTTTGTTGTAGGTGCATACGAAAATATAGATAGAGTAAAAATCAGCGCAAAAACCCCAATAATTTAATAAGTATAAGCAATATAAGCAAAGTTACACTTAATAAATGCCAACTTTGGTACTTTTTATGGACAAAAACTTTGTTCTCTCGGTCTTCTTACGTCTTCTAGCTATAGAAAAAATAAAGATCGGAATCTTTTCTTTCGATTAAAAAAAGACACATATTTGCGACTTTTAACGTAACCCATATAATAATGATGGCATTTATGGTGTTTTTAAGGCGTTTTTGAGTTTAAGTTTGCATGGTAGGTATGTGTTAAAATAAATCGATTACTCCCATTTTTTGGATGGTTGGTTATAATATTCAGCCTCGTTGCGTAAGTCGTAAATTAGGCTAAATGTACGACTCGCAAACATATGCATGGTCGACTGTCGTTCTGAAACAAGTAAACAGTAAACGACGAAAATAGTCGACAAGTAAACGACGAAAATAGTCGAAAACTATGCAGTGATGCCAAGTTTTTCCGTTTCAATACACTAGTCGAGTGGAAATGTTAGGCAATTACGTGAAATTTTCGATACGATTCGACTCTCGAAAAACGACTTGCCTTCGACACGACTCTCGCAATAATGCTGATTATTAATAAGATTCGGGTGTTGTCTAGAATCCTACGAATGCGTTAGCCTTTTGGATTATCCACCACCCAAAAAGATCACAGACCACCGTCGAAGAGTGAGAGAGGATGACTCAATACACTCTGTTCACGTGAGGTATGTCTGTATGTATGTAGTTCAGAGTATCGAAAGCCTTTGATAAGTCCTCCGCTTATAGGAAAATTTCTTTAACAGAGGCAGTCACATCACGTATTTGTGTGTGTTTGCATCTTTAAGGTCAGATGCGGGACTCAAGTGCCATCAAATTCGGGATGAGGAGAGGTATCGGACAATAAGACTAAGCTTTGATCGAGTGTTTTCCAAATTTCTGTGGTGGAATTACTCAGTCTTCCAATTATCAGATATAATGTCAATGGCCATTGAGCGATTGAAGGCCTTGGTAGGGTAGTCTACTTCCTCTGGATGCAAATGATTCAGCATCAACATGCATATACCATCGGGATCTATGTCCCATTCTCGCAGATAATTCCCTGAACTTAGCCTCTGGTGGAAGTAAGAGGTTTCTAAAAGAAGGCTGTGCAGAACTGCCTGATTATAATTTTATGGTGTAACATACGAATATAGTTTTTTTTTTTAATTTTTTCATCTTTAGCCGAAATGACAGTTTTTGGCTCGGTTGTAAATCTGTGTCGGATCGGTCATTAGCTATTCCTACCACAGAATTATGCTGATTGTTTTTATTTTTTTGTGCTAGTTATTTTATTATCTTTATCTATCTTTTATGTAACGTGCTTGTAAATATTATTATTTTCAACTTCAGATGCTGAAATACAAGAATGGTATAAGGGATTTTTAAAGGATTGTCCCAGTGGGCATCTCTCCGTAGAGGAGTTCAAAAAAATATATGGGAACTTTTTTCCGTATGGTGATGCAAGTAAGGTAAGATTTTGCAAGGTTATAATTTATTGCTAAAACTCTTTTATTTTCATAAATTTGGTTTAAAATAAAAAACTAAACTAAAAATAAAATATTCAAAAAACAAAATGAAATAAAGTGAAAAATTATAACTAAAGTAAAAAAATAAACTAAAAACAAAATATTCAAAAAACAAAATGAAATAAAATGAAAAATTAAATTTGTTGATTTGGTTGGTTGATTTTTCCGTGAGAGGAAGATAGTTTATTTTAGACAAGGGATGACGGAAATTCGTTCCAAAAAAAAATAAATTCAAATATAAACTGTAAAAATATGTATTAAAAAATAAATACATATAAAAATATGAATATAAAAATATAAAAAATAAATACAAAGAAATAAATATAACGAAATAAATGTAAAAAATATAAAGTAGTTACATGAAAAATGTAAATGTTGAATTGAATAAAAAATTAAAAAACTTAAAAAAACAGCTTGAAGACCACTCAAAAAAATTAAAAGCTAAAA